TCTTTTAATTTCCCTAAGGAGCGAGTTGCGTCGAGAGTCAGTGAGACTGATAATTGCTATAATTATCTCCCAATTCATGAGGTTAATTTTTTGTTGAAGCTGCTTTCAGAGTGCTGCAAATGGCGTTTCTGAGGTTTAAATTTTAAAAAATTTCCTGGGGACAAACACCCTGGGGGACAGACCCCCAGGTGCCTCGCGCATTCACCGTTTGCAAAACTAGATTGTACATCTGAAAACTTTGACTAACGTACGAAAAATCCTGGATCCGCCCCTGTAACTGGCATTATCGCTCTTGATTTGTTTAGGATATCCGTGTGTTGCAAAAACATTGTCGAGCCATTTTAAAATTTTTGCTGACGTGACTGTTCGAAGTATTGTTGCTTCGGACCATCTTGAGTAATAGTCGCTGAGGCTAACTACATATTCTCCTCAGTGGCGAAGCCAGCGTCGTGTGACTGGTCATGCAAACGAGCGCCGATGGCGTGACACATCCTAGGGGGGTCCGGGGGCATGCCCCCCGGAAAATGTTTGAAATATAGACTACCAGAAACGCTATTTGCAGCAATCTGAGCATCAAATTTCGGAAAATAGCTTGACCTAATGAAGGAAAAGATGTGGATATTTTGGCATATTTCAGACAACAATAATGAAGATCAACACAAAAATAGGAAATCTGTGGTCTGCAGTTCCGCTCTAATTATAGTCATGACCGGCAATTGTGTATTTCTTTTCGATACATAATATATGACAAATAGCTGCCAATACAGTCAGTATAATCTAGAATATAGGTATATTATAATATGCAGACTTGGTCACTTGGAAAATATAACGCATTACGCATGAGCCTTGATCAATTTCCTTAATTTAAAATCAATCGCCCAATTTATTACAATATTCAGATACGGAAAGGAATTAGGCATTATCAGATGTTCGAGTTGAAATTTTACTGTCAGTTTATGGGGAGTATGTACCAAATGGGAAATACAATTTAACAATATATATTGAAATTTCTTTGTTTGTTTCACAAACAAGTATATATCAAATATGTTGCTAAATCACAATCGCTAAAAATTTGTTTTGCGTGTTGAAATGTATAAGCCTTGCAGCGCTATTTATAGAACTACATTGTTTACTACATTGACCTCGCGAGACATTGACATTGTATTTCATATTATACTAGCGCCTCGATGCTTTATACGCCTATGCTCGGGTTGAAAGCTTAAATATTCAAGACAAAATAACAATAACTAAATAATACTAATAGCTTATTTAGCCTAAACCACTCTTTCGTTGAATACCACGACATTTGAAAACCTTTCCCGATCGGGCATGTCGAAAGATCTGGCGTTGGTCTCTGCTTGATAAACAATAATATTCTGCTGAGCAGAAAATGTTTTTTTTCACTAATTCCCAAAATCCCAAACAATATCGTTAGCTTCGAGTGAAGAAGTAGTTGACATGCTTGAATGACCTGAAGACGTGTTCATTCAGGCTGAAAGCTTCGAGCTAAGAGGCTGTGATCAGGTTGTGTTGCCCGTTTAGTCCACAGGAGGCCCAGGCTCGATTTGCCCGCGCCCGCCTGTGCCTTCCTTATAACGAGGGAAGGAAGGAGACATTGAGACCAAAATAGCCCAGACTTGCATATGTCACACGAAACTATCCTCGATTTTTCACCTTTAAATGCATTTCTTTCACGATTAGTCGATATCCCCTGCAAGAATGATACCGTATAACTCTCAAAACAACGATGATTTAATCAAAGAGCTTAAATTCGCTCTAAACTTCGTGAGGGAACGACAAAATTCGGCCAAAATATATCCGCGTGCCGGGTTTGCTCAATCTCGTACCCAGAGCAATGCCTGTACGCGGGCTAGGATGGCATTGGCTCTGGGGAAATTGAAAACCGAAACCCCTAAATTCTGGGGTTCCGGTTGTTGTGAGCATGCTCAAAAGCCCCACCGCTTAAACACGGGGAGTGCAGACTGCAGACTCCAGAGTAATATTTATGTTTGGAAATCATATAATTTCATGGTACAATAATACAGTTTTCTGACATTGAAATGATTGAATACGTCGGGCTTGAATCAGAAAAGGTATGGTTTAAAATTTATGAAATTTTTTATTTATACTGGCTATATTCACCGCATATCAGTTTGTTTATATAACGTCTTATTATTTTTATAAGTTTTTCAAGAATTTGAGATACTGAACTTAATATAATAATTTATTAAACACTGTTTTAAAATAAATAAACTTTTAAACTGGAAAACTATGATGAACGTTTAAACCAATCACAACACAGGAAAAATTCAATTTCCCCAGAGCCAATGCCATCCTAGCCCGCGTACAGGCATTGCTCTGGGTACGAGATTGGGGTTTGCTGGACAAAAAGCGGAAGTCGTTGAACAACTCAAAATACACTCAAACCTGATTGGACAACGAATATCAACAAACATTTCAAATTATTTTGACAAACACAATGTCGACAATGTGAAATACAATTTATTATACATATTAACGTACTACAGTTATATTTACATGCAGTAATATTTACACTTTATTATAACGTTTGTGAATAGTTTTGTTTGTATGATTGAAATTATTACAGTACTGTCAAAATAATTTGAAATGTTTGTTGATATTCGTTGTCCAATCAGGTTTGAGTGTATTTTGAGTTGTTCAACGACTTCCGCTTTTTGTCCAGCAAACCCGGCACGCGGATATATTTTGGCCGAATTTTGTCGTTCCCTCACGAAGTTTAGAGCGAATTTAAGCTCTTTGATTAAAGCATCGTTGTTTTGAGAGTTATACGGTATCATTCTTGCAGGGGATATCGACTAATCGTGAAAGAAATGCATTTAAAGGTGAAAAATCGAGAATAGTTTCGTGTGACATATGCAAGTCTGGGCTATTTTGGTCTCAATGTCTCCTTCCTTCCCTCGTTATAAGGAAGGCACAGGCGGGCGCGGGCAAATCGAGCCTGGGCCTCCTGTGGTCGAGATCAGTGCTCTCACAATCGAATTTTCGAATTCCTTAGAAAAAGCTCGAAAATTCCTCAGATTTCCTTAAAATTCCTTAAATTGGTAAAATTACTACAAGGCCTGATCACATAGTTGCAAAAAGTGTTTTTTTCTCCTTGTTTTGCTGTTTTTCAGTTTTTCAGCCTTGTTTCTACGCACTAAAAACTGAAAAGATTTGATTGTTAGCATAATGCCATCTAGAAAACATTCAACATGATGTATTTTTTATCGTTGCTGCATGAAGAACTTAGAAAATCTGTAGATTTCATAAGAAACAGCATTAAACAACATTAACAGCATTTTTAGACACTTTTGTATATAAAAAGGGCGTGTGAATTGAACAAGTCACATATTATTAGCACTGATGAAGATCCGGGCTTACGGATCGAAAGATTTGCAGTAAAAAGTTTACGTGGTGTTTCCACAAACAAAACTATTATATGTTTTATCACCATGCAAACGTACAAAGAACTTAGAAACAGCATTGTTTTATTATACATTTGTTTGTGTTACTGTTAAATAGATACAGCTTGCTAATCATCTGAATTTTCTGTAGGTTGCGTGATTGCGCGATTTAACTGTAAGCTCTTAGCCAATCAAATTCCTTTTACCAAAACAATATAATAATGACATTTAGGTTTTGAGAATTTTAATGCAAAGACAGCCATATGTATATTTATGACATAGCGAACATACAAATATATGCAATTATGTGCGTATAGCCGTATAATGACTATAATGTTGCTACTTTCAAGTTTAAATCTCATTTGCGTGGCGTGATTATCCTCCGTCCAACGTTTTTTATAGTACAGGATAAAAAGTTTCGGAAATTCCTTAAAAAAATCCTTAAAAACCTAAATTCCTTAAAAAAATCCTTAAAACTCTTCAAAATTCCTATTTTTAAGGATAATTCCTTAAAAGTGAGAGCACTGGTCGAGATGGCTGTTCGCAACTTCGCGCGTTTTATTCGCGCCTCGCGCCTTTTTGTCGCGCCTGTTTTTCCGCGGTTTTTTTCGCGCCTTTCTCCTGCCTTTTGATTTTCGAAAAATACCTTTTGCCAGTTTCTCACTCTCTCATCCGCAGAGGCTTACATGAAGTTTCTAGTAAGGGAAAAGTGAGCGCGCATGATTTAAAGAGCGAATTCAAACTTGCCATTTTATCACAGGGAGCCCATGGCCATCCCGGGTCTTATTGAAGTTATGTATTAGAATTAAGTATGAAATATATAGCTCAGTGTTGATGCCTGCGATTTGCGGGCTGTGTGCGGGCCAAAGCCACTGAGCTGTATAATAACTGGAGGACCTGCTCCTATACTTCGTTCAGTCAACGAAGTGAAGCCAAAAACATGGCGGATTTTGAAACATGGCGGATCTTCACTTCATGATGCCGAGCAGGTCCTCCAGTAATATAGTATAGCTCAGTGGCCAAAGCGCGCGTTGAATTTCTTTATTTTCAACGCGCGCGGCTTCAACACTGAGCTATATATTTCATACTTTAATTCTAATACATAACTTCAATAAGATCCGGGATGGGCTCCTGTGATTTTATTGCTCACTTTTTTTCAGGAAACTTCATGAAAGTTATTTGTAAATACTTAAGGAGGATCTGCGGAGGAGAGAGAGAGTTTCTCACGAGTCGTGTACGTCTTTCTTCTAGGATAATTTTTTGTAAAACCTGAACTTCTGGTTGTATAATTTTCACTCGATTTTTGCTCAGGTCTCTCACTGTTTTCTCCGCTCCTCCGCAGAGCTTCCTTAAGTTATTATTATTATTATTATTATTATTATTGTTATTATTATTATTATTATTATTATTATTATTATTATTATTATTATTATTATTATTATTATTATTAATATTATTATTATTATTATTATTATTATTATTATTATTATTATCATCACACTGTTTGAACAAGTTATTGTGTTTGAGGAGTCTTCATTCAACACCAACGAAGTACTATTAACGAAGTAGAGCAGCATGGCAGTTTCACAGGGAAACAATTATCGAAGGGAAAGCAAGCAGTGGTATTTGGGATCTAATGTGTGCTTGCTGTTTGGTTTGCTCTTTCTGTCGATGATTACTTAAACAGAAGGTACTGTGTGTAGTTACTGTGGTAAAGATTTTGTTGTCTTAGGTCGACACGTTTGGCGCTGTAAAGCACACGTGACCAGTGATGCGTTCACTGCTTCGCCTAGAACAGCCTCTGATACTGGCCAGGAACGATCGAACAGCGTTGTCTTTCCTGAACTATCATTTGCTAGCTTGAATAACGAACACGATCAGGAGGCTTTTGCAGCTGATCATCACCTAGAAACCGACGATCACGATCTGCTACATGCCGAATGCCATTGTGGTAAAAAATGCAAAAGTTTTAAAGGCCTTCAAGCGCATCGTAAACACTGTCCCATTAATGCTAATCTAGATTTAAACCTGCTGTTTGCACAAGACTCTGATCCACCGATGCCACCAGGGCAAGCACGTGCAGTAGATTCAGTTGAGAATGAAGAGACGCAATGTCTAGATAATTCATTTCAGAGAATACCCGTTAAACCAGGCTTAAAGTTACCTAAAACACCGATCGGTTGGGATAATGCTAATGAATATTTTAGAGCAAATTTGAATATCAGTAACGAAATAACTGATATTAATACTGAAATTAGCTCACTGCAGGACATGATTTATACATATTTCAAGTCAAACTTTGGAACTTATAACAACGAAGATGACAGCATAAGCGAAGGGTCAATATTCCAGCAAAAGTACAACCATCTTTCTCGTCGGCAACTTAAATACCATTTAAGCGAGTTAAAGAAACTTCAGTGTAACGAGGCAACGCAAGAGATTCGCTATATTAGCAAACTATTGCGAGTAAAATATAGCAAAAGGACTCACCGTATACTATCTGAAAAAACCCATGATGAACGCATCCAAGAAAATTTCTGGAAGTATTGTAAGGAAATTTTTGAGGATGAAAACACAATCCTCCCAGATTTTGATAAAGAAACTTGCACAAGCTTTTTTCGTGTTCACCTGAAGGCTAATAGTGGGAAGGGGAATGTTGAAATTCCCCAGTGGATGAAAAAATTCGATAGACCAACAAAACATTTTAATATAGCGGCTCCGTCTTACCGTGAGGTGACAAACATAATCAAGAAAATGAAGCCTGGATCCTCTGCTTGCCCATTCGATCAAATCAGTATAATTATTCTTAAACGATGTCCGTTCCTTCGAACTGCATTACACCGTATTCTAGTATACTGCTGGGAGGGAAATGTTGTTCCTAGAATCTGGAAGCATGGCTTTACAATCTTAATACATAAGAAAGACTCCCCACAAGATCCTTCAAACTTTCGACCGATTACACTTCAGCCGGTTTTTGGCAAGGTGTTCACATCAATAATTCGCAATAGAATTTACTCATTTCTGATGGATAACAAATATATAGAAACCAAAATTCAAAAAGGTTTCTGGGAAGAGGTGTCTGGTACGATAGAACACATCGAACTGTTAACTCACATTATAAACCATGCGCGCAACAATAAAAGGCATTTGATAGTCACTCTACTCGATTTAAAAAACGCGTTTGGTAAGTTGACCATCAACTCCTTTCAACTGTACTTGAACACCACCATGTTCCGACAACTGTAACAGAGCTTATCAAAAACCTGTATGATAACTACACCATCTCAGTAGGCACAGAAAGCTTTATTACAAACCCAATTTTAGTTGGTAAAGGAGTTCTTCAAGGTGACTGCCTTTCTCCCCTTTTATTTAATATGTGCGTTAATACCCTCATCAAATGTATAGAAGATGAACGTGTACAATGTATTGGTTATTCATATTGTGAATACCTACGCCCCAGACACTGGTTCCAGTTTGCAGACGACACTGCACTAGTCACAACATCCGAAGAAGATAACCAAGCCCTCCTCGACGTATTCACTAAATGGTGCCGTTGGGCAGGCTTCCAGGTTAGAGTTAATAAATGCTCTACATTTGGAATCAAGCACAACGGGAAAAAGGCTACGCCATTTAAGCCTTATCTCAAAGTAAATAATCAGATGATTCCTCAGGTTGAGATAAACGAATCATTCCAATATCTAGGAAAGCAATTCAATTATAAAATGGACACGGTCGTAATCGAACAGGAACTAGAATATGATCTTTTGGAATATTTAGAGAAAATTAACAGGCTTCCTTTGCACCCTAGAAATAAAATTCTGATTATCACGAAGTACGTCTACAGTAAACTGCGATGGCGTTTATCAATCTACAGGCTTTCACAAACTTGGGTGGAACAGCACTTAGATAACAAGATCATCTCTTATATCAAGCGTTGGCTACATTTCCATAAAGGTGCAAACATGACGCATCTGAAGTTAGCTAGCAGCAAATTAGGTGTCGGTCTCCAACTGGCTTCTGATGTTTACAGATACTGTAAGCTGTCTATTAGAAAAATTCTTTCTAAATCCATCAACAATGATATGAGATGCCTGTTCAATCTTACCAAGTTCAATAATGTGCAAACTGATTGCTTGATTTATAACAACGACAATCCTAGATCAGCTCTTAAGCAACAAATCGAAAATACCGTGGTGGAACATCTCTCGACTCTTAAGGAACAGAATACGATCATGAAACATGCTAGACAGGTAGCATCTCCTAAGCATATAACAATGTGGGACAACATCTGCCGCCAAATGCCAAAGAATATATTCGTGTTTGCGAGACGAGCCTTGATATATTCTCTGCCGAATAATTCAAATCTATATCGATGGGGGAAAAGTGATAACCCATCTTGTGAATTGTGCTATTCAAACAAACAAACATAACTTCACATGCTTTCTGCCTGTCCGGTTTCGGGAGATGAAGGTCGATACACTTGGCGACATGACTCAATTCTTTACACTTTGCTTCACTATGTATCTCAACTAAGGAAATACGGATTTCGAATCTATGCTGATCTAGACAATTTTGACAATCCTAACGAATTCTTCCATTCATTCCGCCCAGACATTGTACTAATAAAAGATGACAGAATCTTCATTTTGGAATTGACGTGTTGCTTTGAAACAAACTCTGAAAAGAGCAGGAACCTAAAGATCAGCAAATATAGGGATATTCAAAATGATTGCAAGAAAAGGTTTCGACACTGGAGAAAGATTTTCGTTGAATTTACAACACTTGGACTAGTAACAAAACATATAGATGACTTATACAGTGTTTTTAAAAATACAAACATTAATTAATTATAAGAGAATGATTGAAAAGTGTATGGAAGTAGCTATGCGTGCCTCATTTTATATATATGTACGCCGTAACAAACAATGGACATCTCCGCCTATCTTAAAGTTTTATTAATCCTAAGTATCTACTACTATAGCGATGTCTGTAATCTCTGTGGACTGCCCTATGTTTACATTGGAGAGAAACACATGAGTTAGTTTTATCAGGTTATATATACTATCAAATTTATATGTATTTTAATGTATAGGATTACAATAAAGTTTCCATTATTATTATTATTATTATTATTATTATTATTATTATTATTATTATTATTATTATTATTATTATTATTATTATTATTATTATTATTATTATTATTATTATTATTATTATTATTATTATTATTATTATTACTAAAGTTTCTTGCAAAAACCTTTCAAAGTTTAAACGAATGCAAATTACTTGTTGATCTTCCTGGATTTGAAAGCCCCTCGATTATTACGGGTGATGAATATCGTCCTGATTTACTTGTCTCCACTTCAGACAAACACCTCTACGTTGTTGAACTTACCGTAGGCTTTGAATCAAACCTCACAAACAATGTTAACCGCAAGAAAGCTAAATATAAAAACCTAATTAGAGAACTGGATCAAAACTTTACATCTGTCAAATTTATAAATCTTTCTGTCAGTTCGCTAGGAGTGTTTGACAAGGAATGTCATACATTCGTAAAAATGCTAAATGAGTTAGGACTGGATAATCAACACCAACAATATTGTATCAGAAAAATTATATCTATTGCCATCCGATCAACGTACTACATATTTTGCTGTAGAAATAAAGAATGGACAAATCCCGAACTAATGAACATTTAAAGTAACTATTTCTGTAAATAAGTAGTAATTTTTGTATATAAAATTATAACCATGCACGTATAAGTGATTCAAGTAGTCAATTGTAGGTTACCTCAAGAAGTGAGATTTACAATTGTATATATCTATAAATGTTCTATTAATAAAGTTTTCATTATTATTATTATTATCATTATTATTATTATTATTATTATTATTATTATTATTATTATTATTATTATTATTATTATTATTATTATTATTATTATTATTATTATTATTATTATTATTATACATTCATTCAGCATATCAAGGCTGAAAAGTACCGTCAATTTGGGTTTTCCTTCAAATTACTAAATCCTATCCATTGGTTCCAGTTTGCTGATGACGCGGCTGTAATTACTGGCCAAGAATTCGAAAACCAACATCTATTAAATCGATTTTCTATCTGGTGCCAATGGTCCGATATAATTATCCGAGTTGACAAATGCAGTACCTTTGGCATTAAAAAAGCGATCACAAAATCAGTTCAGTACTTGCCAAAACTCCTCATCAGCAATCAACTAATACCAAAAATCACCATTGGAGAATCATTTCAATATTTAGGACGTTACTTTGATTTCCACATGTCGAATGATAATCACAAAACTGAACTAACCTCCCTACTTAATGAACTAATGTCTGATATTGACTCAAAGCCACTACACCCCAAAAATAAACTGCTCCTCTACAGTCGCTACGTCTTGTCCAAGTTAGCCTGGCACTTCACCGTCGCAACACTCTCTAAAACATGGGTTACTGAAAATATCGACTCTGTTGCCAACAAATATATCCGCAGATGGCTTGAAGTACCAATATCAGGAACACTAAGTACTGTCTTTCTAACAAATAATAAATTTGGCCTGAGTATTTATCCTCCATCTGTAAAATTTATCCAGTGTCAAACAGTCCTCCGAAAAGCTTTAAAATCTTCTCTTAATGAATCAACTAACGACCTGTGGAGAGCAACCAGTAACCATACTAATATCCAATATGACGCTTATAACTCTACTAAGGAAGTTCTCAAAGATTTCCGTTCTGGACACGAAAACAAACTCCTAAACCAATTAACCAGTCAAGGATCCTTTTTCTGCAGCGTCACGAAGTTCGCTTTACCTCAGCTTAGCAAGGTATGGTCCGTCGCCCAATCAAAGCTCCCGAAAAACATTTACAACTTTACCATTCGTTACATTAACAACTCTCTTCCGACGCGCAAAACCCTAAACAGATGGGCAATATCTTCAAATTCAGACTGTTCTTTTTGTCTTAGCCCTGAAACATTACTACACATAGTAGCTGGATGTCAGTTTTATCTCGACCGATTTACGTGGAGACACAATTCAGTCCTGAACTTTCTTGCTCATACTTTACAAACTGTTGACGGTTCTACTCTCTACGCTGATCTAAATGGATTCAAAAGCCCTTCAATACTTACTGGTGATACGTATGGCCCAGATTTGTTATTATCGTGCTCAAATGGTTCCTTATATGTGGTTGAACTCACCACTGGTTATGAGACAAACCTCAAAAACAACGTAAAACGGAAGAAGGATAAATATAGAGAATTATTGAGACAGCTAGGAAAAAATTTTAACCAAGTTAAATTTATAAATCTCTCCATCAGCTCTTTAGGTATTTTTGCAGAAGAATGTTATACATTTTTAGACATGTTAGATAGTATTGGTCTTGACAAAAACCACCAAATGTACTGCGTTAGGAAAATGATGACTATTGCTATTAGAACTACATATTACATTTTTTGTTGCCGAAATAAGGAATGGGAAAATCCGGATTTACTAACAATTTGACTTATCTCAATGTATATATATATATATATATATATATATATATATATATTGCATGCACTTTGTTCTGTTATTTTAGTTTAGTATAATTGTGATTCAAATAGCCAACCGTAAGTTACCTTTATGAGAGAGATTTACGATTGTATATGTATGTAAAGAAAAACATTTAATAAAGTTTCCATTATTATTATTATTATTATTTTACTATATACTATATACTTCGATTACATGGCAGCCGGGCCAGCCCGCTTTGCCGGGATCGCGGTTGTCGCAACCGGGCTGGTCCGGCTAGCCAGGCTGAAATTCGCCATGTAATCGCATCAGCCCGGCATACTGGGCTGAAATTTGCAAACGCACGGTTTTTATTTTGAAAATATAACCAAAAATAGCACAAAAATAAACGCTTAAAGTTTTAGATAGTGAATCGACTGGATTTAGTGGAGCATAAGCGAAGAAATGTAATCGGTCCCTTAGTGGACATGTAGCTATGTTTTCATCGTTTTCAATAAGCTATCACTGGTAATTAAATTTGATGTCCATGCAATAAATATATCATCGATTAATCGTCGTAAGAAAAGAGAACCATTACAGTATTCTATTAATTATTTGTTTATCCAACTCGTTCATATAGATAATAGCCAGCATCGGAGCAAGATTGTTCCCCATCGCTAATCCCGATTTTTGTTTATAACCTTTGCCATTAATTAAAACAGTATCACTAGTCAGACATAGACGTACCAATGCGTCGAAATCTTTGCCGCTCAGTGGTGATAATTCACATCACGTCAAGATCAGGACTTGAAAACATTAGATTACAGTTTGTAAATGGACCATCCCTATCAAAAATATTTGCTCCACGTAAAGAGAAGCTAAGTTGCCCCGATAACTGTCATACTTGTAAACTAGCAATTAAAACTAATGTATGCAAGGTTAAGAATGCGATCTACCTTATTAATTGTTTACATCGTCATCTGGTTTATGTGGGAGAAACCGAAAGAACAATACGATCGAGGATAAAGGAACATCTCCGAATGGACAAACAAACAGTTCATGTACAGCTTAGAACTCACAATATTGACCCACAAAGCGAGTCGACAATAAGTTGGAAAATCCTCCATTCAAATATAAATTACCGGTATGAGCGTGAAGTGATCGAAGCACTTGAGATTCGGAATTATTCGGACAGAATTATGAATGGTTGTGCTGGACGTAATATCAATATCTAGTTTGACTAATTGGAACAATCAGGCTTCTAATATATCCTATGGTACAATCAACAATATAATAACAATCACTCTTTTAACTTAATTTTAAAAATTTTTAACTTAGAACTCAAATTAACATTTTTAACAACATTCTTTAGCTTTTACATTCTCAATCAAGCGATAAATGCATGTATATATAGAGGACGATTTTATTATTCAGATTATTGTACTCACTGATGAAGCCTTAACCGGCGAAACGTCTGAGGAATTTAATAAATAATCTCACAATTTGCCTGAAGAAGTCCCTTTTTTGGTTTAAAATAAACCAACCGTCAGAAATAATCCAGGCATGACAATCAAAACCTATTCATATATATTATATATATATATATATATATATATATATATATATATATATATATATATATATATATATATATATATATATATATATATATATATATAGTTAGATATCGCTCTATGGCCTTTAGGTCATATTGAGCGCTCTACAGGATGAGCCATGGCGCTTACGCATTGCGCAGGCTCACTGCTTGCAGTTTGAGCGCTCTGGCATGGTTTTGATGTCCCACAATTGCGAGGCATCAAAGGTAACTGTAAATGGCAGTTACATTCATCCTGCTAATCAGCACT